GGGTTCACAATGTAGTTTGCACAACTGAATAAATAAAAGAAAACACGAGTGCTCACTTCAGATTTCGCACTTCAGATGCAAGATTATCAAAGCAGACAATGTTCTCAAATTTGACGGTATTTCTTAATGGAATTCCTTCATAGGGAGTCAGAGTCAATGGACACTCTGACCAAGATACAGAGGTATGTAATGTCAGTGCTCAATCAACTTCTGGATTAGAGTTCCCACCCCATTGGAATGGAATTTTAACAGGTTTCCTTATCAAGAAATCCTGTTTAAGAAGTTAAGCCTAAAAACGTGACTATTATCACTAGAATCAATGTAATATTTTAAGGAAAGGTGTTTTAGGGCAAACTAAATATTTACTCGATAGCAAAGGCCCTCGCATCATTAAACATTCTATCCCTCTGGCCTTCCACCGGCGGAGACCCTGAAGCAGCTGTCCAGTTGCTCCATGATTGCCTCTCCTTCACCTTCAACTCCCTCGTCCCCCTGAAATCCAGGACCATTTCCAAACCCACCCGATCCCCCTGGTACAACAACCATCTCCGTCGCCTAAAAACCCAAACCCAGCTGCTCGAGCGCAGATGGCAGAAAACTGGTCTGACAGTCCACCCCCAACTGTGGATCGAGCATCTCCACAGCTACTGCCATTCCTTGACAAGCGCAAAAACGGCGTTCTACTCCAACATCATCTTCAAGGCTAAATAGAACCCTAAAATCCTTTTTTCCACCACCCACTACCTCCTCCGTGCCCCCACTCAGGCCTCCTCAATCTTCATATCAAATGTCAAGTGCGAGAAGGTCATGGACTTCTTTTCATCTAAAATTCACAACATCTGCCAGGCAGCCTCATCCACCTGCCTCTTGTCACCCACCACCATGCCCTCTCTGTCTCTCTCACCCTCCCCATCATCTGCTCCTACCACCACCCCCATCCTATATTCCTTCCTCCCCAACTCTCCCTCCTCCCTCTCACCCACCATCACCTCCATGAAACCCATCACCTACTGCCTCGACCCCCTCCCCACCAATTTGCTGGTCACCCAGCTCCCCTTCCTCTGTCCACTACTGGCTGACGTCATCAACCAGTCTCTCTCCTCCGGATCAGTTCCTGCCCCCCTCAAAACTGCTGTCATCACCCCCTCCTCAAAAAACCTTCCCTAGATCCCTTAAACCTCAGCCACTACCATCCCATTTCAAACCTGCCCTTCCTCGCATAAGTCCTAGAACGCGTTGTTGCCAATCAATTTTGTGCACACCTCTCCCCCCACTCCCTCTTCAAACCCCTCCAATCCGGTTTCTGCCCTGCCCACAGTACAGAGATCATTCAAAACTCTGCCATCTGCATTCTTAACCACACCAGACTCCGCTCCCCGATCACCCCAGTCCTTGCCAGACTGCACTGGCTGCCTGTTCCCAGAGAGGATCGACTTCAAGATCCTCACCCTTCTATTCAAATCCTTCCACTCCTCTGCAGCCCCCCTACCTCTCTGACCTCCTCTCTCCTCAAAACAGTACCCATTGCCTTTGTTCCTCCGGGTCTGGCCTCCTTCTCATCCCCCGAGTCCTCCGCTCCACCCTCGGCAGCCGTGCCTTCAGCCACTATGCCCCGAGGCTCTGGAATTCCCTTTCTCACTCCCTTCGCCTCGCTCCCTCTCTTCCTACTTTCAGGTCTCGGCTGAAGACCTTTTTTTTCAACTGCGCCTTTGGTCACCTTCCTCCCCATCCCCCTGGCCTCAGCCCCAAGATCCGTTACTGTGAAGCGCTCTGAGACGCCGTCCGGCGTGGAGGGCGCTATATAAATCCAAGTTGTTGATGTTGTTGTAGATTAATTGCTGTTATAGTTCACACCAATGCTGTAACATGGAATGTATTTAGCAGAAGTATGAATGCAGTTTCTTCTAGCTCATGCAACGTGGGCTGGTGGCAAGAAAAGGGAACTTTTACTTGATGAGTTTCACACGTGTTACTTTTAAAATGCATTCTGCTCTTATAATGAGTTGCAGAACTAACACTGTTACCGAAGGTCAAAAACTAAATGTTTCTTTGAAATCTCACATAGCATTTAAAAATGGCAGATTTTGTCTTAAAACAGAGGACTAAATCTCTTAAGCGCAAGGTTACAAACAGTGCATATGACAGAGAAGCGTACTTCACCTATATTTTATAGCTCAGTCACTGAGCATCAGCATCCAGGGATGCACACTCCACCTCACCAAGCCAACCAGGAACCTAATTGTCTTGTTCAACCCTCAACTGTCCTTTCTGCCCCACATCCATGCCATGACCCACTCTGCCTTCTCTCACCTCTGCAACATTGCCCGACTTTGCCACTGCCTGGCCCCTCAGGTTGCTGAAACCCTCATACATGCCTTCATTACAACCAGGCTGGTTTATGCCAACTCCCTGCTTGTCAGCCTTCTCAACTCTTCCCTCCACAAGCTGCAGATCATCCAGAACTCTGCAGCTCGGGGCCCCCCCCGCACCAGGCTCTGTGACCCCATCACCCCCACCCTCGCCCGGCTCCACTGACTCCCCATCCCTCAGAGAATCGAGTTTAGAATCGAGTTTAAAATTCTCGTCCTCACCTTCAAGGCCCTCCATGGCCTTGCCCCTCCTACCTGCTAATCCCTTATCAACCTGTCCGCTCCCTCCACTTAGCAGGCTTCAGCCTGCTCCATGTCCCCCGCCTGGCCCGCCCCACCATCGGCGGTCAGGCCTTCAGCCTCTCTGCCCCCACCCTCTGGAATTCTATCCCTCCCTTGCCTCCTTCAAGGCAAACCTCAAGACCCACCTCTTCGACCATGTCTTCGGCCACCCTCCTCCACTCTCTGCCCTCCACCCTCCCTGATCCCCAAACCCCACCCCACCCCACAACCACGCTCAGGTCCAAATCCCTGACTGTTTGGTCCTCCAACTGAAAGGCGCTTTACAAATGTAATTTTAAAGTATTTGTATACTTTACAGTTTGTTTAGTGAAGCGCTTTAAGATGTCCTCCCAACGTAAAAGGCACTGTATCAAACGATTATTATTGTTAAAGTACATTATCTATGTTTAATCACATTACAGTTTATTTTGGTATGTGAGCTCTTACTTTTAGTCCGTTGTGGTTGCACATTAAGATGACTGGATTTATATCTAAAAATCACTTGTGATTGAGTCCAAGACAACGTTACATAGCGAGATTGTTCAATTCACTTCTGACTTTGCTGCCAGGCTGAATTCCAACCAGATAGAGCTGTGTAACATTCTTAAATTGCATTGTAAATCAGTACATTTTAACACCTGTGGAAGGCTGTCGTCTTAAATTTAAACCATGTTGAAGAAAGTTCTTTAACGCCGCACCCTCAAACTTTAAAACAAAATGGTCTTATAAGCTAAGACTAACCAGAATTTCAGGTCTTGGATACTTCACTGAGAATAATAAAATAATAATAATCCTAGCATTTGATATAGCACCTTATAAAGCGACTTCCTGTCGGGCGGACGTCCCAAGGTGCTGGACAATCAGCGGTCAGAACCCGGGCATGGGGGAGGGGTGGGGTAGGGGTGAAGGAAGGCAGTGGGAGGGCGATTGAAGGTACGATCGAAGAGGAGGGTCTTGAGACAAGCCTAGAAGGAGGGAAGGGAGGAAGTGAGGCGAAGGAACTGTGGGATGGAGTTCCAGAGTGTGGGGGCAGAGAGGCTGAAAGCTCGGCCACTGATAGTAGGGGCAGGAGACATGGAGCAGGCCGGAGCCCGCTGAATGGAGGGAGCGGGCAGGTTAGTAGGGAGTCAGCAGGTCAGAGAGGTAGGAGGGGGCAAAGTCATGGATGGCCTTGAAAATGAGGACGAGGATCTTGAACTCGATCCTCTGGGGGATGGGGAGCCAGTGGAGTCAGGTGAGGGTGGGAGTGATGGGGTCACGGAGCCTGGTGCGTGAGAGTACACGAGCTGCAGTGTTTTGGCTGATCTGCAGCTTGTGAAGGGAAGAGTCGGGAAGGCCGATGAAGAGGGAGTTTCCATAATCGAGCCTTGATGTGGTGAATGCATGGGTCAGGGTTTCGGCAGCCTTCACCGAGTCTTCTCAATGATCAGTCTAAGGACTAATGGACGATTCATTCTGGGGATCTCTTTAGTTTCGCCAACAAAATACACAGTCATTCCACTTTACACTATAGTCTATGAAGTGCTTTGAGATGTCTCAACTACGTGATAAGGCGCAATATCAAATACAAGGATTATTATTATTTATAGATTGAGGGTCCTGATAGGCTCATTTACTAATGGTCCACTAGATTTCAAGAAAAAATTGGGCCAATCTTTGGTATCAAAAACGTTGAGAAAATTGGACTCCTGAACATTGTAAAGCACATGATGGACGAAAGAAAAAATGTGTTTGATCTAGTTATTTGAATCCCGTTGAATAGTAGATCGCTGACAGGGCTCCGGTAATAGAAGAGTGGGCAAAATGTATTTTGGTTTGGAGTTTAGGCTGTGTACCAAATGCAAAAATATAATTGAATAAACTGGGTTTTTACAGTGATGTCATGTCACAGTAACTGATTGAACATAATGTGAACATGATGTGGTCTTCCTCTTTCTTTAAAGGCAGTGCTTCAACCACAAACAAAATCAATAAGCCATCAATCATCTCAAGGGAGAAATCACAACACATGACACCTCAGAAAGATATTATATCCTCACAGCAACCCCAGTCTGTATTGTGCTTGATGCCTCATTTGGATCATCAACTCATGTCTTCATCCATGATTTAAGGAACATTACTCACAAATTTAATGCAAACATCATTTGAGAGATCATAGGCCTAAAATTCTTCACGGGGTGAGCCTTAAGTGCGGAACTTTGGAAAATTCTTTATTGCTACTGTTCTGTAACAATTATTGTCATTTCGATAAGATTGTCAGAAGTCTTTTAACCATTACTATTATTATTATTATTATTACCACTAATCTCAGTGATCTATATGTAGAATCTGAGTTATAACAGTGCTTACTGTTTGGCCTCCTCCAGGTGACATAAATACTCATAGGCGATGTTCTGATGCCTCCTCTCATCCATTTCCTCCGCAGAGAGCCTTTCATCATCCACAATAGCTGTAAGAGAGAAACGCACACCATTAATACTGTCTTCAAAACTGCAATCTTAACCCAGACTCTGTAATCTACATGCCATACAACCCTTGCACTTTGTACCATGCAGCTCTTGCATACCTCCTCTGAGAGTCTATATACAATAAAAAGTTACATTTATACAACAACAACTTGTATTTATATAGTGCCGTGCACCATGGACGGCGACTCGGAGGGCTTATATAGTGCCTTACACATCAGGACTCACTGTACAATTCTTGCATATTTTCACCCGAGAACCACAGAGCAAACACTAAGGTCATTCAAATTAAGAACAATAACTTGCATTTATATAGCGCCCTTCACGCACTGGAGCATCTCGGAGCACTTAACAGGGGCAGAACTTGACTCTGAGCCTGGGAGAGACGGGAGGTGACCATAGGCATGATTGAAAAGGAAGGTCTTCCAATGCAATTTGAAGGCAGTTAAGGAGAGCACAAGACGGCGGCAGGTGAGACAGAGAAAGAGACAGAGTGGCAAATTAACACTGTTTTTTTAATGCTTATTTTGCTAATAAGAAAATGACTCAGATAAATAGTTATTCATTGGACTTCTGCCAAGAGAACCATGTACTGTATCAGGAAATAAATATTATGCACTAATTCAACGCAAAGTTCCACAAATTCCTGTGAAATAAGTGACCAAATCCCTGGAGGAATGATGGCCAGACAATGTGATGAAATCTTTGACGTCCATCTGAAAACAGGCAGATTGGTTTAACATCTCATCCAAAGGATGGCACCTCCAACAATACTAGCCTTCCACCAATACTGAACTAGAGGGTCAACTTAACTGTGAGGTCAAGTCCTGATGAATGATTTTAAGCTACAATCTTCTGAACGATAGGTGACAGTGTTGATTGAAACAAGCTGATACAAGACAATGTGGATCCGTGTATCAAACCTCTGAATATAGAGAGAATGGAGATACACATGACCCATTTGACTACTTTGTGTGTATCTCCATTCTCTCTGCACTCAGTGACATCACATAAACTTTATTTTGACATAAAAGAACATTTGTTGAATCACAGGCAAACACAAATAGGTGAGGCTGGTTGCTTCATACAGCACAAAAGGGAAGGAACAAATGAATGAAAGATAAAATCTGTTCCAAGTTTATATTTCATCAGAATTGCTCTTGAGTGAAGCCCATCCCTGAGGTGGGACTTATTTACATTGGCACCAATGTGGAATTCATAAATCAACCTGAACCCATTTCTTTGGAAAATTAGCTAAAACCTCCAATGCTGTGTAACTATGGAAAAAAAACTGTGACACAAAAAAACAGGAACAGAAAGTTTTTTTTATTTTTATTAGTTATTAGGATTCATAATAATCCTTACATTTGATATATTGCCGTTCATGTTGGGAGGATGTCTCAAAATACTTCACAGGATATACTGTAAATTGCAGTCTGTGCATTTTGTAGGTGAACATAGTGGCTAATTTACCCTCAGCATTGTTCCACAAACAGCCATGAAATGGATCGCCAATTTTATTAGGTTCATTGTGGGTCAGGACATTGGGAGAAACTCCCTTCTCCTTTCACATAGTGCGATAGGATCTTTAACATCCACCAGACCCCCTGCATCTAAACTAGACAAGTGTTCCGAGATGCTACCCGAGTGAACAGCATCATATAATTTGCCATTAAGTGCGAGTTCATAATCTCAATGTGGGTCTTGAACCCTCGACCTTCTAATTGAAGAGTTAGTGACTGAGTCTGGCTGACACCATTTTCAAAAATAAGCCAATTTCTGCACCCCTCCCCCCCCACCCAGAAAAGCTGTACATTGGTAGCATATTTTCACCCATTTCTGAATCTATTTCCCATTACATAAGCTTTATAAGGAATTACAGTTCATTGTAGTGACAGTTTTTGTAGGCAAATACATTCAAAATCTTCTTTTTCTGCTCCTGAAAGCTTTAACTCACGATGGGACACTTAAGCCCTGGCTGACTTCTGGTGTCTCCCCAAAGTGTCCATTCTTTGTGCCTTCAGCGTGCCTTCAGCTCCCCTCTTGTCTCTCTACCCCCTCCTCGCTCCCTCACTTCCCTCCCCTCACCCTGACCATTACCCCCTGCTCGGGTCCTGACCCAACTATCCAATGCCTTGGGACGTCCTCCCGACGTGAAAGGCACTCTATAAATGCAATTGTGTTGTTGTTGTTCGAGTCTAGATAGTATCAGCAGATTTGCAAACTGGTGGTGGAGCCATCACATCTGGGCCTGTTCTAGTACAGCAGACACACTCTCCAGGAAACCAAAGCGAGGAAAAAATGGGGAGTTCTGAGTGAGAAGCAGACCAACCAGTGCTAGAGAGCAGTAACTTAAGAACATGAGCAGAGATCTGGTCAGACTGCTACCTTTCTGTAGTGCTGGTAAAGCTCAATTGACAGCATTTACTTGGGCTCTGGGAGTCTTAAGATGTGGAGTGGATTAAGGATGACGATGAACATTATTCCTAGGACGTGGAAGTTATCAAGGTAACATATTATTAGATGGCTGGGTAGTAAGGTTGAGATTTTCTGGTCTGTCTGGCTGCAACTTCTTTTGGCCCCTTCACTACTGCGGGCAAAAAAGCCAATCTGAAACCATATCTATTGCATTTCAGAAATCGTCAATAGGACATTTAAATCTGCTTTTTGCTTGAGCCTTTTGTCATGACATGTTGGAACAAATTGTTCTGCTCAATCAGCTCCCATTTACTGCTTTAAAAGGAGTATTCATTGAAACTCGCATTATAATCTGGCCCTTATAAGATTATATTCATTAAGTATGGAATGACATCTCAAGACCTGATCTAGCATTGTCAATAAGTAGCCTTCATTGAATCTGAGTTGATCCAAATCTTCCAGATCCCAGGAAGAATAATATTCCTTCTTATATTTCTCTCTTTAACCTCCCCCACTCCTCAGTCACAACTAATAAAGGGCTCAACAACTAGAATATCATTTTATTGTTGGCAATTAGGAGTAAATGAGGAATTCAGGCAGAGAATTCCAAACATTCTGATTTAGTTGCTTCAGATTAGTTGAAGTAAATATAAACAGATAAACGTGTTTCTGAGTAAGCCAAACACTTAAACTAAAAGGCAGATGGAGCTTTGAGTAGTAATAGCCTTTCTCGGTTCTCAGTTAGGCGTCCTGCTCTCCTATGTCGAACTGATTCTAACTGTAATACTCTCCTGTGTGTTGTTGTTGAAGGAAATCAAATCTGCCCAAAGAGGTGGCATTGGAATCAGGCCAATTTAGAGACATCTAGAAGGACTACTTGAAACAAACCATTGCTCATGTGGAGATCTGGAGGAGAAGCATCAACCTCCGCTGGATGCTGCTTGCAGTCAAATAGCCTGCCAATACCAGCTGGCTATGGACTTTGGCTAGTGACTTGTATCCTGCCCAAATGTCAGTCAAACAAGTGTCAGGGGCCGGATAAATCTCAGGGGCCGGATAAATTGCATCCGAGGATCCTTAAGGAGTTATGGGAGGAAGTCGCAGAAATGCTGGCACAAATCTTTCAAAAATCACTGAATAGTGAAGAGGTGCCGGGAGACTGGAGAAAGGCAGATATTACTCCTATTTTTAAGACAGGTAACAAAAGTGACCCAGGAAACTAGACCAGAATGTTTGACATCCATTGTGGGTAAACTTATGGAGACTCTTAAGGATAAAATCATGGAGATTCTGGACAGAAATCAAATCATAAATGACAGCCAATTTGGGTTCATGAAGGGAAGGTCCTGCAAATCTAATTTACTGCTTTTCTTTGATGGTGTGACAAGGAAGCTTGGTAAGACTAAGGCTGTGGATGTTGTATATCTGGATTTCAGTAAAGCCTTTCATACAGTTCCTCGAGAGGTTGGTACAGAAAGTAAAAAATGCGGGAATCAGTGGAGGTATAATACAATGGATACATAACTGGTTGACTAGAAGAACCCAGAGGGTAGTGGTACAGGGAATGTCATCAGACTGGAAAAGTGTTACCAGTGAAGTGTTACCATGGAGTTCCATAAGCGTCTGTTTTGGGATCGCGTTTGTTTAATATTTTTATAAATGATCTGGAACTAGGAGTCCCAAGCACAGTGGCTACGTTTGCAGATGACACCAAGCTAATGAAGGTAGAAGATTGAACAGCTCAAAAGATAGGTTACAGGAGGATTTGAACATACTTGGGAATTGGGCAGATCGGTGGCAGATGAAATTTAATGTGGAGAAATGTAAAGTACTCCACATGGGGATAAAAAGTCCTGGAAGGGACTATTATTTGAATGGAAGGAAAATAATATGTATGGAAAATGAAAAGGACCTGAGGGTCCTAACTGACAATAAATTGAAGCTCTCCTAACAATGCTCTGTATCAGTGAGTAAAGCAAACCAGATGTTGGGATAGAAAAGATCAATAGCAAGCCGAAATAGTGGGGTATTCCTGCCACTGTATAAATCATTGGTGAGACTGTAGAGAGTACTGTGTACGGTTCTGATCACTGCAGTACAAAAAGGATATTGGAGAAATCGAAAAGATACAGAGGAGGGCAACCAAAATGATTGAGGGAATGGAAGGACTGGATGATGAGGAGCGACTTAGTAAATTGGGCATGTTCACACTGGAAAAGAGAAGATTGAGAAGCAATATGATTGCTGTCTTTAAGACTCTAAAGGGGCTCAACAATATAGATCATGACAGGCTGTTTCAACTTGTCCAGAATAGTAAAACCAGAGGGTACGGCCTGCGATTGAAGGGGAGTAAATTCAGAACGAATCTACTCAAATGCTATTTCAGCGAGCGAACAGCAAACCTGTGGAACAGGCTCCCGAGGGAGACGGTTGAAGCAGGAAATGTTGATTCTTTCAAACACAGATTAGATAGTTTTCTTTTAGGAAATAACATTATGGGACACGGTATATAGTTTGAGACATATGTGCATGCGACCGCCAGGAAGGTGGAAGGCAAACTAGATGG